CAAACATATATATACGTGCCAGCGTGTAACCCCACCTTGTAACGAATACTATATATTGCTCTAGCGCATGCATGTCAACCCCAACGCTGTGAATTATGGTCTGAAAGTGAAAGTTATTACCCTCCAACAAACCGACAACCGAGCAGGTGACCCACGAAGGATGCACACATATGTGTGTGTATATATATATGTATAAAAAAATGAGAAAACATCGTCAAAATAGAGAAAGTAAAATCTGTAGTTTTAATAAAAAAAAACGCGTATACGCCATGGTGTACTAGTATACCTACCTGTATATTATGTATATATGTATGTGTGTATGTAGTAATATATGTGTCAGACTGTTGCGCGTTTTTCTGTTCGCACATAAAAATACTCACACTTTCAAATATTTTTTCGCATCTGTTGTGTGTGTGTGTGTGTGTGTCCGTTAATGGGTCAATGTGACCACAGCAATGTTGTGGCAGCTGGTAGCAGCATGATAATACAAATATAAACAAAAAATTTCTATGAAACCGAATTAAATTGAATTAATATGAAATGCGTAAAACAAAAAGTAAATAAAAGTGACCAAAAAGAGCACTGGAAAATATGTGCATATTATATCAGCACAAAATGAAATTATTCGNTGTGTGTGTGTGTGTGTGTCCGTTAATGGGTCAATGTGACCACAGCAATGTTGTGGCAGCTGGTAGCAGCATGATAATACAAATATAAACAAAAAATTTCTATGAAACCGAATTAAATTGAATTAATATGAAAAGCGTAAAACAAAAAGTAAATAAAAGTGACCAAAAAGAGCACTGGAAAATATGTGCATATTATATCAGCACAAAATGAAATTATTCGAACTTCGAGAAGGTTTTTTTTTTTAATGAAAAACAGCGAATTTATTTAAGGGCGGAAAAGATGATTTTAATTTTCGTTATGTTATTTGGGGATAATAAAATTGTTAAATGATATAAAAATAGTTTTTTTTGTGTATGAGAATACTCATACGACTACAATAAAAAAATAATTATTTCATATAATAATAATAATTTTTCGTATAAACATACATATTATATATGTGAATATAATTTCACATTTTTCTTCGATAACTGCAATGTGAATTAAAAGTCAACTAGAATTTGGTTGATTTTATACTTCAAAGAGTTCGTATTAAATTTTTTTTTTTATCAAACCTATGAGTTATCATGAGTTATATGAGAATAAGAAAGAAGGGCTATTTTCATAATAATTTTCTAATTCATATGTATCTATGGCATTATAGAATTAAATATTAATTACCATATGTGAAAAATTGAAGATTGTTTGTAGGGGCTATGAAGATAAATAATATTTTCGAACAATGCAAAGTCTCATGCTCTAACATGATTTTTGATATATTTCTGACACAAAACCGCTCATCTGGCATTATCACCTGGTTTCAATAATTTGCAGTGATAATGTTCATTTGTAGATTTGAAGGTATAATACCAAATTTCACACTCTTAGATGCTTTTTTGACGAAATTTTGACCAAAGCCGGTGTATGGAGGCCAACACGTTATAGTCGTCCGACATCGATAATTTTAGGTATGAATGTGTGCAGAATATATAATTTACTGCTTTTAAATGATTGTTTTTGAAAAATTTATGATCCAAACTCTAAAATCTGAGAAATGAATTATATATTATATATTTTTGTTATAGTAGTGCGATCTGGCCGGTTCCAACAAATAATTATTTAAAAGCAAGATTACATTTGTTTATCAAGTTGATTGAATTACCCCAGAAACTGAAAGACTAGTTTGCGTATAAAAAGGCGAACATATCCAAATCGTGATCTCCTAGAAAAAGTTTGTACCAAAAACGAGATTTCGACATTTTATGGAGCTTAATGAATTTATGTGCATATTTAGCACACTTTTTATTCTATTGCTAACAGCCAGAGGTTACACATTGTTGCCAATTTTCACTACAAATCTTCTGCTGTGTGTCCGAAGGGTTTTCGCCTAAAGTTTTAAGTAATATACTAGTATGAAAGTTTTATTTAAATAACGTTTTGCGCTATTTGCTTTTAAAACTTTCTCACTCCTTACCTATTTTTGACACTGTTGCCAATTTTCACTATTAATTATTGCTGCCGTCTTTTAGTTGTATTTGTTTTGTAATTTTTGCGCACCGGAAGTGCTCGGTTTTTTATTTTTGCTCACAGTGTTGCCAATTTACCCTGCTGAATATGACCGTTAGTACAATACTTTTGGAGCAAGTAACTTTTAGCTTATAATGCCATCTATTTGAGTTCTCTTACACTCTCTGGTGATTTTCTTTCTCATTAATATTAATTTTAGAGCTAACATCGTTGCCATTTTTCATTCACTATTTGCCGTTGCTGTTTCTTAAAATATTTTCTTTGATTTTTAAAGTTTCTCTATTGTGCTTGAAAATGAGATATTTTGATTTATTATTGCGCCTGAACTCTTTGCCGATCTGTTGAACATCATTCCTAGCCAAGTTGGGAATTTTCACTGAGTTACTTTTCTTTCATACTTTTGAGGCAATCGCGATAATGCCAGCATTCCAATTTTATTCTTGGTAACGTCGCCAATTTTCTTCCGGAAAGTTGTAGTTATTGTAATTACTTCGGTTGGGCACTGGCATCGCCCAACAGTGTTTTTAAACTACAACTCTGAAATTATTCGATAGTAGAATTAGATGTAGAGAAAGACCGCCACTTCTTTGGAAGGAGCCGGTGGAGACCGAACTAGCTTCACTAAGTATATCCAACTGGCGTCGAACAGCGAGAATGTAGAAACGAATAACGTACCATTGTTGAAAAGAGAAATAATCACAGAATTCTAGTTACAACTGTGTAACAGATTTTTCATTTTTTTTGCTGCTATCATTGGACATTTTCTCATAATAAATTTGAGCTTAAACAGTGAAACATATTATACCTAACCGAATGATATCGGTTTTTGTACTGCTGTCGAGTTTCCCAATTATAAGTCCTTGGTGGTGATCGCCTTAGAATATCGAGCTTTTTGTCAATATCCTTTTTAATGATTCCTGACACTTGTGGTTGTAGGTAATTTCTTTCTGACTTAGTGGGAATCTTTCCCGATTTCTCTTTGCGGGCTTCCTCATTTTGAGTACGTGTAGAGAAAAGCCAATTGTACAGTAATGTTCATATATACAAAATTTGTTGTCATTTTGGCAGTGTTGCCAATTTCCTCAACATATATACCCTTCACAGATATGTTTCCAAAATAACAATAATTTTTTTTATGATAAAAAGCGGATATTTTTCCATTAAATATAAATAAAAAAAAAATTTTTTTTTTAAGATTTAAAATTTTTTTTACAGAATCCCAAAAGCTAAATAAAAACTATGCAGCACAACTCAACTATTGACCTCCCTCGAAGTAGTTGATGAAAGGGAACGAATAAACTAAAACGAAAGTAGCAACACCAAAAAATTCCAGACAACGAAAATGCCCGCCACCAGAGAACTCTTAGTAAATTACTTCTGTGTCACCGCCAACTCTTAAATGCACGCTAATAAGACCAAAAANAGTTATGTTGGTACTCATGTCTGTCACTTGTGCCGACAAGCTCGGCCATTTTGAATGTTCACTTAATTGTTGACAGCTGCTTTGCTTGCACGTCTGGTCTTCGATTTTTACCTGTTCAAAAAAATGGATCAAAGAACCTGTATCAAATTTTGTGTGGAAAAAGAAATTAAAGGCGCGGATGCACTGCGAATGTGGACTGTGGCATACGGAGAAGCTACCTTGAACCGAAGCAAAGTTTTTTCGGTGGTACAAAATGTTCTCAGAAGGCCGAGAAGATGTCAACGACGAAGAGCGTGCCGGACGCCCGAGCACTTCAACAACAAACGAAACAATTAATTGCAGGGGCGTGGTGCATCATGAGTTCTTGCCACAGGGTAGAACGGTCAATAAGGAATATTACCTGCGAGTAATGCGCAATTTGCGCGAAGCAATCCGCCAGCAACGCCCGGATTTGTGGAAGAACAAAAATTGGCTTTTGCACCACGATAACGCCCCTGCTCACACATCGTTGCTTGTGCGCGACTTTTTGGTCAAAAACAACACACTAATGATGCCGTAGCCACCGTATTCTCCAGATCTGGCCCCCTGTGACTTTTTCTTGTTCCTTAAACTGAAGAGGCTAATGAAAGGACGACGATACGCTACGATTGACGAGATAAAGACGGCATCAAAGGAGGAGCTGAACAAGATAAAAAAAATGATTTTTTGAAGTGCTTCGAAGATTGGAAAAATCGTTGGCACAAGTGTATAATATCTCATGGGGATTATTTTGAAGGAGACAAAATAGATATTCATGAATAAATAAATAATTTTTGAAAAAACTCAAAATTCGCGATATTTTTTGAACACACCTCGTATTGGTAATTTCATAGTTATAGTAACAGTTTTTTTTTTCGTTTTTTTCTTGCGATTATCATTTGACATTTTCTCATAATAAATTTGAGCTTAAACAGTGAAACATATTATACCTAACCGAATGATATCGGTTTTTGTACTGCTGTCGAGTTTCCCAATTATAAGTCCTTGGTGGTGATCGCCTTAGAATATCGAGCTTTTTGTCAATATCCTTTTTAATGATTCCTGACACTTGTGGTTGTAGGTAATTTCTTTCTGACTTAGTGGGAATCATTCCCGATTTCTCTTTGCGGGCTTCCTCATTTTGAGTACGTGTAGAGAAAAGCCTATTGTACAGTGTTATCAATGTTCATATATACAAAATTTGTTGTCATAGTGGCAGTGTTGCCAATTTTCTCTACATATATACCCTTCACAGATATGTTTCTAAAATAACAATAATTTTCTTTTATGATAAAAAGCGTATTTTTTCCATTAAATAGAAATAAAAAAAAAAATTTTTTTTTAAATTTTAAATTTTCTTTTCAGAATCTCAAAAGCTAAATAAAAATTATGCAGCACAACTCAACTGTTGACCTCGAAGTAGTTGATGAAAGGGAACGAATAAACTAAAACGAAAGTAGCAACACCAAAAAATTCCAGACAACGAAAATGCCCGCCACCAGAGAACTCTTAGTAAATTACTTCTGTGTCACCGCCAACTCTTAAATGCACGCTAATAAGACCAAAAAATGCGTTTTCCATTGCGACGCAACGCGAATGTGCTAGACACGCTCCTAACCGAGACCCTACAAACATTGGTGGTGCTCAGCATAATCGGTTGGCCATTTAGTGGAATGCAACAGTGTGAAACGAAGGATATGACTGTGCAACAACAACAACAACAACAACAACAACAACAACAACAACAACAACAGCAGCACCAACAATACAGTAAAGAGCAGCAACTGGTTATGCAACACCTGCAGCATCAACAACAACAACAACAACATCATCACTATCAAAAGCAACAACAGCAAGAACAGCAGCACCAAAACTTACATAAAATTCCAATACACACTCTACAACAAAAACAACAAAGTATAGCGAGTGGCACACCCTCGTCAGGATCAGCATACGAATACGCCGAGTTCGCTTTGACGACCGCAACCGTAGCTCAACCAGTAATATCCTCATCACTAGCGGCATCCTTGTCAATGTCTTCGTCGTCGGGGTCGGCCTGGCCGTCCGGGTCGTCATCATCATTAGGCACGCATGACATGCACCACTCGGCTCCAACAATAATTACAATGGATTATCAGCACAAAAGTGTGCCCACCAGTTCCGCCAGCGGCGCCAATGTGCCGTATACACAACATATAACAACAGCAACGGCAACGGCAACGGCAACAACAACAACAACGAGCAAATTATCAGCTAACGAAGTCACTGCCCATGCCCAAGCTCATGCCGCTGCCTCATCTGCTTTTCTGAGTAATGGAAATGTTAATGGTGTTGGTGCTGGTGTTGGTGCTGGTGTTGGTGTTGGTGTTGCTTTTATTGCTATTCGGCCTCCGGACATGAGTCTTCATTCAACTCAACTGACTTCCACCTCCGTTTGGACCTCTCTTCGACCGCTGCATCGGGTTTCAAAGGACACGCAACATAACAGCGCTTACGCACAGCTTCCGCCTATCAGCAGTGACAGCACAGCAAACGGTGAGTAGTTGCTCGTTAAATATACAATTTTCGTTTCATATTTTCTTTTTTTTTTTTTTGGAATTCCCCCAGCGAGTAGTCACTAATCATTCATTTATTACACGCGGAACTCAAAAGAAAGCTGTGGATGGGAAGATTGTAGACTTTGCGTGAGGTGTGGGTACTTTGTAATCTCGGTGCAGGTGAATGCGTGTGCAAATTATTGAAGTTCTTAATTTAACTAGAAACCGTGTCTTGGGCGTTGTGTACTTATTTTCCTCTCCTTCGCACTCACTTTTCCTGCGCGTGCTGTGTAATTCGTTAGTGGTATGTTATTTATGTTCAAAGGTATTCTGAGTCTCTTTGAGAATTACTTTAATCACCGCGCATGGTGATGATCAAAATAAACTTGGGATTTAAAAGAGCATAATTGGACGCCAGTAGTAAATTGCAGTTGAAAGCGAGTGAGATTTTATAATAATTTTTGCCTCTAATTTTAACTCGATTTTTTTTAATAGTCTTAGAAAATGCATGACTTACCAAAAAATATTTTTATAGCTGGCTTGAAGATTCTCTGATCACGAAACGTGCAAAAATATTTAAAAAGCTTCGATAGGTGGCACTGATACCGAGTTATAACTTGATAACTTTTGAAGCAAAATTAAAATAAAAGACGAAGGCAAAAGAAAAAATTCATTTGCTAGAAATTTTTACAGGCCCATCAAGGTCTATAGAATACAAGGTTACAACAAGCATTGACGTCACCGAACCGACTTCGTCATATGTACAGTGGGTGGGATTTGATATTATAAAACGAAAATAAGTTTTTTTATTTCAAAAGTGTTTATGAATGTAAATATGGGAATAATTTCTTATACCGAAAAAACACAAATTGTAAAAATTTTGTATTTGATTTTACGTACTAATGCCACCTCAGTCACATATTTGGCCAATTTTTTTATTAAAAGCTGGCGCAAAAATTAGCGGAAGATAAGCTACCGTGCAAGGTTTTGAACAAACCAAGGTCGAGATGGCAGAATAAAACCAAATAATCTTAAAAACTAAATTGCAAACATGATAGCTCGAGTTATTTAATTATGAGCCCTTTTCAAACTACGGCGCTCTCCTTAGAAGGCCAAAACATCACTTTGTTGCAAGCGGGAATTCCTCGGTGGGTTGCATTAATCATTAGCTAGCGGATTTGGATGATTTCTCAACTTTGTGAAGTACTTCGTCCTGCTTCTTTCGATTTCAGGCTTAACCAGCAAAATACTAAGATCTTTATGAATATTTACGTTACGAACGTACCATGGTGCGCCCGTTAGTGCTCTTAAAATTTTAGACTGGAACCTCTGTATTTTATCGATATTAGTTGCACAGGTCGTACCCCACAGTTGAATACCGTAAGGATGTTGTAGTCTAGTTTTAGACCGGAGTTTTTATTTAAAAGCCAATTTAAACTTGCTGCTTTTAATTTCATGTGTAGTGTTTTTGTCTCTATGTGTCTCCTCCAAGTGAGACGTCTATCTAAGTGTATACCGAGATATGTAACATCATTTACTTGGGGAATTTTTATGCCATTTAAGCGAATTGCACGACATGACTACAGTATTAAAGTAAATGTAACGTGTTTACACTTTTGTTTATTAACTGTAATTCTCCAGTTTTCAAGCCATTCTTCGATGAGGAGTAAATGATCACTAATCGTTTTTGCTGCTCTTTTAGGGCATTTATCCCGGCTAAAATAGCTGTGTCATCCGCAAAGGTAGATGTCTGCACTTTCCGGTTTAATGGCATGTCCGCAGTGTATATGATATATAAGCTGGCCCAAGGACGCTATCCTGCGAAACACCAGCTTTTACCGGATACTCCTCACTGATAAATTCAGATTGTTTATTGGTAAAATGTCTGTTAGTCAGATATGGCTTAAGTATCATATACAATTGAACAGGCAGATCCTTATGCATTTTGTACAGTAAACCTTTATGCCAGACTTTGTTGTGCGTACTCCTTGATCTCGAATGCTTCTCTGATTTCATTAGTTATTCGGTTAACTTGTTCGATAGTACTATGCTTTTCGCGAAAGCCGAATTGGTGATCTGGTACCACATTGTTATTAAATAAAAATTATGCAGCACAACTCAACTGTTGACCTCCCTCGAAGTAGTTGATGAAAGGGAACGAATAAACTAAAACGAAAGTAGCAACACCANAATTCACCATCCAAAAACCTCACTGAATTTAATCAGAAGAGTGCTGGTGGCTTTAAACTTGTTTGGGGATGGCTCTTTAACTTGTTCACGAGTTAGTCATCTCTTTCCAGAAGTCGGCTTATTGTAAAGGTGAATGGAGGAGAAATAAAATTTCCCACTTCGGCAGAGGAAGAAACTACTGTAAAAGCAGGGTATGCTAATGCAAACAAAAAAACCGCTTGGGCTAATTTATTTCAAATCTATTAAAGGTTATTAGAAAACTCTCTTTGGTTCGTTCAAAGCTGGAGCGTGCTACCTTAATTTGGAATCCAATATATTTTAGGCATTCCTCTAGACTTGAAATCGTCCAACGTAGGCTTTTCATTCGTTTCGCTCTTGCTCTGCTCCATTTCTCTGACCCCTACCTTCTTATACTTCTCGATGCTTGCTAATAAATCTGAAATCTCTTGCTCTTCGATGATCTATCCAGTCATTATTATTTATTTCTGACATCATCAATAGCTTGGTGGACTACCCAGAGCAGTTTCAGCAAATCAACTTTAGTTTTCCTCATAGAACTTTGCGCTCTAATTAAAGCCAATTATCATTATTACAATCATATTCTTAGATAACTTTCTGAATTTAATAGAATCTCTAGAAGACTTGATCACGATTTTGCATTCCCGAGATATCGTTTTGGCTCTGTCCTCAATGCTTTTCATACTTAATATACATTCATAGTTTTAAGTCTCTAATTAATTTGTTCTTCCAGTCTGGAAGATTTGTAAATCATTGAGTGAATAAATTGAAATTAAATTGAAATTAAATTGAAAATTGGCTTAAAAAGCACAATGAAGGAATTGAATGCACGCATATTGCTATTGCTGCTCCATCATCAAATAATATTGAAGGCTCTCTTAGTTTATATTTAAATTGTAAGAGGTTCAATAGTTTCAAAATCGAAGCAGTATGTTTTGTTGTATTCATGAGTCAACGCGATTTATAAATGTTTTTTTTTTTTCTCAGATGTGTGTTTATGTTTCACTTTTCTAAACGCAAGACTACCGCAATTTATGGCTCTGGAATTTGGGAATCTTGCGACCTACGGGTACAACTCATTCGTCAGCGCACTGATATGTCTGTACAACAGCAGAGAGAATCTTCCCATTTTGGCGTTCAAGGTTATCCCCAGAGCTGTGGCTTCTAACACCAGTACAACAAACTAAATGGTTCTGCCAGAAATCGTATAGAAAGAGCATTTGGTGTTTTAAAATCGCGAAACACCGAATTTTGCATTATACACATGACAATATAAATTTAGGTGAAGGTGAAATACCTATGTCCAGATGTATTTCACGCCCACATGGTATTAAATAATCAAATTGTAAACATTCTCACATTTGACTTTCCAAATATACTATTACATATTTGTTTATCTATTTTTCCGTAATTCTAAAAGAATTAATGTTAGCAAAAACAGCTGATTCCTGCTAAAATTTCATTGTTCACCACACGTGTGGGGACAAGCACAACAAACTGAAGCTTTATGCTTTATCATGATTGACACAGAATAACAAAATAAAATCTTGCTTGATAAAAATCTTGATAAATTATCAATATTTTATTAATTTGTCAAGTGGGCAGAATGTGGCTGTTAATCTGATATAAATATTTCAAAAATAACTTCATACTTCACTTTACTTTCAATTCTTTAAAATAAAATAAAATAAATGGGCAGAATGTGGCTGTTAATCTGATATAAATATTTCAAAAATAACTTCATACTTCACTTTACTTTCAATTCTTGTTCTTTGACGGTTTTCATACCAAAACCGTTCTCTCCAACGGTTTTAAGAAGAATTTATTTAAGTTCTTCCAATGTTTAATTTCGACCAAAATACTATCGCATGGGCATCACACAGGTGTTATTGCATGAAGCCAATGCTAAGCTCGATTTGCTTTGGGCCAGAAATTACAAAAATATCGGAGTGTTCCGAAGGTTTTGGGAATAAAACTCGCATCTCTCAAGAACATTCCAAGAAGTATTTACCCAAACTGCTTCGGGAATTATTGAAAAGTATGTCACAAATCTGATAGGAACTGCCTTAAAGGGGCTAGAATGGAAATTGATTAATAAATTAGAAATTTTGATATACTCACAGAGCTTCCCCTCAAATTTATGAATTCGTCTTGATGTTTTCCAACAAATGAAGGAACATACAGTTTACACTAAGTCTTCTCCAAATATTTAATAGTTCATTATGAGGAGCTTTTATTTCAATTAAAAAATACACTCGATGGGCTTAAAAATTCCCTGTAGAGGGCCACACGCAATACGAAAAAAAAAAATTCTTTAATGTTGAATATTGGATTCAAACCGTAGCTTCCATTCCGTTTTGGCAGTAATTACGAAGAACGACTTTCCTGAGGGTACAATACTTCGAAAAGTGGAATGCCAGAAGTATTTAGGCCGTTGATGTGCTATATTTTAATCATTACATTCCATTGGCTCCATCTATGGACATCTTTGAGGTTTTCACTATTTATCAGAGGAGTGACTATTAGTAGGTACGTTCACCATCTAAGGGATGCCCTGGTGTTGTTTCTGTAAAAGCAAGATCTTATATAGCACGATTAGAAAGGGAAGGTTAGACGGAAAAGACTACACAACTTTGTGCTTTAGCTGCTATAGTAAACGGGAAGTCTGCTAAACCGAAGCTACACGGACATGACCAGAATAGCAGACTTGAGAGTTGTCGGAAATTCTCGCGCTGATCTAGACCTCACACAGCCATTCTGGCAGCTGCTTTACCACTACCCTTTTTGTGT